CAGGTCAGTTCAGTGCGGTAAATTGTGAAATAATGCGGTGAATTTTGGTTCTCTGCGGTGGACTGCGGTTCGAGGGGAATGTGGCAATGGAGCTGCATTTGTCATACGATACAACAGCGCTTCTGAAGCTATGTTCCATCTGACGCCCTAATGTTGCAGCGTCCGGCGTCCAGACGTTACTGTCCGGACGCTGGACGCTGGGGATTTTCTTTTTGGGCAGCCCCAAACAAAAATCCCGCACAAATTTGAGGCGGGATTCAATCGCGACCAGATTCGCGATGAAATCGCCAAGTGTGGGTTACGTTTTTGAGCTACAAAAACGCAACCCACATTTATTTCCCCCCCACACATTTTCACCCATCCAAATCTACTTGTCCCAACCTGGTCGACCCCCAGCTAAACCAGAAAACCAGATCTAGGCCGACATTACACATTTCTCTTTCTGTTGTCATAGCTGTCACAGAATGTATTGTTGTTTGCAATAGATTCAGTTACTTGCTAGTGTAGGTGTAGTTGGGTTATTCGAAGTACTGTAGAAGGTGAGTTTGGGGCGTGGGGATTGACGCAAAGTGGTGATTCAGGGACTTGCGAGGCGCAGGGTGGGACGAATTCAAGGGCGAGCCCTGGGCAATCTGAAAGGCCAATCCTAAAGCCTAGCGGGCGGAGCCCAATGTGAGTTACGGGAAACTGCGCGGCACGGGGTAGAGATTCAAATAGACTAGGAACTCACTGCTTAGTTCGTTCTCTCGTTTGTTTGCCTAAAATAGTGGATTTACGTTGCCGTTCTAACGCTACAGCAGCTAGGTGACTAGGCCATTGAGGGCAGCCATTGTGTGGGAGCCAGTATCTCTCACAAACGAGAGAAAAGCTTTGGCGGTATGGATTGCCACGAGCTGCGTTGGCAGCAGATGGACTCGCGTCGGGAGTTTTCACCGTCGCAGAGGATGCGCTCATTGGAGCGCGGGAGATCGCGGACGCGTTCGCCACGGAGGACGGCATACTGCGCGGAAGGGGGCTCACCCATATGAGGGCGACGAGGAGGAAGCCAGGGCGATCTGCATGCGAAGGCGGAGCCCAGGCCTCGTCCGTCCGGAAGTGATCCTTGGAATCTGGCAAGTGGCCAGCAAGGAGCGGGAGAAGGGCGTCATGACGTCGCGGATATGACGGACTCGCCGGAATCAGCAAGGAAGGCTGATGACGAGAGAGATTGCGAAGGTGTCACCACTGCGCGGGGTGGAGGGGAACAACGCCTAGGCAGGGAGGAGGCAGATCTGCAGAATCGAGGTGCAGAAGAGCGTAATAGCGACGCGGAAACAGATCTTGCATTAGAGGGGATGTGTGAAGAAGGCAGAGTGAGGTGTCGAGGGAACACGGCGGCGGATTGCTCGCCAGACGACAGGCGCAAGGGAAGCGCGAGGCGCCGCGAGAGCGCGGATGCAGCTGGTGCGACGGACGAAACAGATGGGAGTGGCGAAAGGCTTCTTGGCAGCGGGGATGCAGCTGGTGCGACGGACGAAAACGAAATGGGTGGGAATGGCGCGAGGCGCCGCGGAGAAGAAAGGGCGGATGCGAAAGAGGACGACCTGCAAAGCGATGGCAGAGATGGATGCGAAGAACGCGGATGTGTAATGGAAGAAGATCGATTGACGAACGAGATGCGCGGGGGTGGCGCACGGCGCCACGAGGACATGGCAGCAGATAGCGCGCGAGAAGAGATGCGTGAGGGAAGTGCGAGGCGCCGCGGGAGCATGAATGCAGATCGTTCTGCTGGCGACATGCGCGGGGGTGCGAGGCGCCGCGGGGGTGCGGATGCAGCCGGTTCGACTGACGGAACGCGCGGGAATGACACGAGATGCGGGAGCGCGGAGGCAGATGGCGCGACCGACGAAATGGGTGGGGGCGGCGCGAAACGCCAGGGGAACCGCGCGGATGCAGATCGCGCGCCAGAGGAGGTGCGCGGGAGTGAAGCGAGGCGCCAGGGGAATCGCGCGGACGCTGATCGCGCGCCAGAGGAGGTGTGCGGGAGTGAAGCGAGGCGCAGCAGGAGCAAAGCAGCTGAGCCCTGGTCAAGGGAGCGAGGGGAGGAGGAGAAGAGGCGTGTTGCACCAGCAGGAGTGTATTGTTCGCCCGAGCCTGGACAAGGCCGTGCGGGCATGAGGCGTATGGCGATGGGAGAAAAGAGATCGCTGGAATGGTCAGAAGAGGAGGAGGACGAGGATTACGAAGGAAAGCGCGTTCAGCACTCGCCAGCAAGGAGGCGGCGGCCAGCGGAGAAGGCGCGAGGCAGGGGTAGCATACGATCGCCACCCAGCACCTCAAGGGAACAGGCGGGAGCGCGCCGTGAGAAAGCAGAAGACCACCTGTGGGCAGAGAGAAGGGCTGCAAAGGAAACAAGCGAAGAAGCAAGAATGTGGCCCGAGAGAGAGAGCCGTGAGAGGAGGGGCGAAGGAGAGCGATACCAAGGAGGTGAAGAGGCAGGAAGAAAAGGGGATACGGGGAAACGGGATCAGGAATGCCGAGGCTGGGAAGAGTGTGGAGATTATGAGGAAAGAGGGAGGTGGGACTCACCGGAAAGAGGAAGGGAGTGGAGGCGCGAGGAGGACTGGCGAGGCAAGAGAGAAGGTGTGCGGACACCAGAAGTCTCGAGGGCAGCAGAGAAGGAGCGACAACAAGAGGACAGAGTGCGGCAGTACCAGGAGCGGTCTCCTGCAGGGGGAGAGAAGCGTCGAGAAGATGCAGAGAGGCGCAGGGGGGAGCAAGAAGATGCGCGAGGGAGGAGCCCTAGCCCGTTGGGCCCGAGGAGGCCGGGGCGTCACGGCGTAGGATCTGCTGGAGCAAGAGCAGCTAGGGAGAGAATAGAGCGAGTGCTGTATGGAACCAGCACGGGCAGTAGGGGAGAAAGGGAAAGGAGGAGAGGGGTTATGATGTCTGAGCAAGGAGGGACGGAGAGCTGGGAAACAGGGAAGTGGGGGGCAACAGCACAGCCGCGAGTGGAGGTGCCAGTACGCTTCACGGGAAACGAGGAAACCGGCCCAAGTCTAAAGAACTATTTGATGCAGATCAGCAATGTTAAATACTGATGTGACAGAAGCGGGATAGACCCGATTGAGTTTTTTCTGAGCCTGCCAAGCATGTTGGGAGGGGAAGCAGAGACTTTGTATCGCTTGAAGATGGGTGAATGGCTGTGGAGGGCAGAAGAGGATGACGAGGACCCGATGGTACTGTTCCTGGAGCGACTAAGGAAGCAGTTCCCTGGGCATACGGCAGCGCGCATCAGGGAATTCCAGGAGTTTAGGCGGAGGGACGAGGAGTCACTGCTGACATACTACGGACGGTTAATGAACCTGGCGGAAGACGTGGTGTGCACGGACAGCAGCATGATCATTAGCAAGCTTCTGCATGGTTTAGACAAGGGATTGGCAGGAGGGTTGAGAATGAGAGTCTATGAGCTAGGAGCAGATGCAACACCAGAGGAGGTATTCGAGTTAGCGGAAAGGGTGGAGCTGGCGCAGAGGAAGTATGAGGTATACCTGCCGAGGACGATAGAGAAGAAGTGTCCTACCTGGGCAACGGCGATGATACCAGGGGAGGGAGCAGGAGAAGAGGGCAGGCCATAGAAAAGGGCAGAGACACGCACCTGTTACCAGTGTGGACAGCCGGGGCACATAAGGATGCACTGCAGGAACTGCGATGCATGTGGGAAGCCAGAGCACTGCCGAAGGGACTGCCTGGAGGCACCGACATGTAAGGAGTGCGGAGAAAGGGGGCATGAAGCAAGGGGATGCGATAAAGGGGCAGGCGGAACAAAAGGGTCAGCAGAGGAGATCGAGAGCCAGATAAGGCAGTTGCGGGCGCAGTTGCAGGCCCTGGGAGGGAGAAAGAAGAAAGAGGCTGGGCTGTATGCGAGGGAAGAAGGAGCAGAAGAGGAGGAAGGGCAGGAGCCAGAGTACACATGCCTGGCGTTACGTAGCCGTGAGGGACTGGGGCTGCGCAGTGGGGGCAGAGGCGGAAGGAAAGGGTGGGAGCTGAGAGGAAGGACAGAGAGGCAGGCGGAGTTGTATGCAAGTGAGGAAGAAGAGAAGGAGGAAGGGGAGCAGGAGCCAGAATATTCCTGTGCGGTGCTGTGTAGCAGTGACGCCATGGGGCTGCGCAGTGGGGGCAGGGACAGAGGAAAGGAGCCAGCCACGAAGGTGAGGGCATGGGCAGTGGCAAAAGGGGAACAGAAGGACGAGAAAGAGGAGGCAGAAGTGTGTGAATTAGTAGCAGCAGACACCGAAGGTAAGGATGAGAAGGTGAGGGCATGGGCAGCAGCAGAAGGGGAAGAGAAGGACGAGAAGGTGAGGGCATGGGCAGTGGCAGAAGGGGAAGAGAAGGGCGAGGAGGAGGCAGGAGTGTGCGAATTAGTAGCAGCAGACACTGAAGGGAAGGATGAGAAAGTGAGGAAATGGGCAGCAACAGAAGGGGAAGGGAAGAATGAGAGAGAGGGGACATGGGCGTGCATGTTAGTAACGCCAGCAGCAGCGGAAGTAGAGGAGAAGGATGAGAAAGTGGGGGCAGGAGCGTGTGTACCAGCAACAGCGGAAGCAGAGGAAAAGGATGAGCAGGTGGGGGCAAGAGCATGTGTACCAGCAGCAGCGGAAGCGGAAGTGGTGGATGAAGGGGTGGAGGCACGGGCATGTGTGGTGGCAGCAGCGGAAGAGGAAGGGAAAGAAGAGAAGGTGGGGGCACAGGCGTGTGTAGCAGCAGCAGCGGAAGAGGAAGGGAAAGAAGAGAAGGTGGGGGCACAGGCGTGTGTAGCAGCAGCAGCAGAAGAGGAAGGGAAAGAAGAGAAGGTGGGGGCACAGGCGCGTGTAGTGGCAGCAGCGGTAGCAGAAGGGAGAGCCAAGAAAAAGGGGGCATGGGCGTGCGCACCAGCAGCCGCAGAAGCAGGAGGAAAAGATGAGAAGGTGGGGGCACGGGCACGTGTACTAAAGGCAGACAAGCAAGCGCAGGAAAGTGGGATGGCAGAGCAGCAAGTGAGGAAGCTGTGGGAAGAACATCCAGAGCTGAAGGGGGAAGACATGGGAAAAGAAGCCATGAGAGGACCCGAGGCGGATGTGAGGAGCATACCAGCAGAGGCGGCGTGTAACCAGGGGCAAGGTGACCTATGGTTCGCTCTATGGGAAGGTCTGGTGAGGGACCCGGCCAAGAAGCAGGAAGAAGCAGCGAGGGAGAGCAAGGAAGAGGGGGAATGGGAGTGCCTGACAACAGGAGAAGGACTGGAGCATACAGTGGGAGATGCGATGAGTAAGAAAGAACAAAAGGCCGTGAAGACAGTAAAGGGGATTAAGGGAGAGACATGGGAAGATGAGTCGATGGAGCCAGCAACACAGGTGCTGATAGAACCAGCGGGAATGAGAGTGGCTGAGAACTGGGTGGCATGGGACAGGGAGCATACCTGCAGAGAGGGATACGCTGGAAGTAGCACTGGATACACAGAGAAGAGAGACGCAGGACCCGGGGGGGTCCAAGAGTGCTGGTGCAGAGGAATCAGAGAAGAGAGCAGACGGGGAACCGCCTGATGAATGCTGCAGTGGTGAGAAGCACCCGGCCTCAGCAAGAGTGTCCAGTGCCACGTGCACGGGAGACCCGAGCACGAGCTCTGGAGGGGGCAGGTAGTGGCTGAGGCAGAGCAGGTAAGGTATCACAGGAACAGAGCTTGGAAGAAGGGAGGGAGGGTGAGAGCAGGAAGGAGAAGGCAAGCCATGGGATGCCACAGATTATGAGTTTCCGACAGCTGTCACAGAATGTATTGTTGTTTGCAATAGATTCAGTTACTTGCTAGTGTAGGTGTAGTTGGGTTATTCGAAGTACTGTAGAAGGTGAGTTTGGGGCGTGGGGATTGACGCAAAGTGGTGATTCAGGGACTTGCGAGGCGCAGGGTGGGACGAATTCAAGGGCGAGCCCTGGGCAATCTGAAAGGCCAATCCTAAAGCCTAGCGGGCGGAGCCCAATGTGAGTTACGGGAAACTGCGCGGCACGGGGTAGAGATTCAAATAGACTAGGAACTCACTGCTTAGTTCGTTCTCTCGTTTGTTTGCCTAAAATAGTGGATTTACGTTGCCGTTCTAACGCTACAGCAGCTAGGTGACTAGGCCACTGAGGGCAGCCATTGTGTGGGAGCCAGAATCTCTCATGGTAGTGGCTGAGGCAGAGCAGGTAAGGTATCACAGGAACAGAGCTTGGAAGAAGAAGGGAGGGAGGGTGAGAGCAGGAAGGAGAAGGCAAGCCATGGGATGCCACAGATTATGAGTTTCCGACATAGCCTAGCAACCTGAACCCTAGAATCCACCAGTCATGCTACTGAGTTATGCATGTGAGACTGACAGTATTTAACTTGTGTGTGAGATTAGGGGATTTTCAGAATTTTCAGGATATTCTGGAATATGAACAGCTTTTCCCCTGTTTAGCCTTACTACCAAGGTTTTTTTGCCCCCTTCCCGGGATTTTTTTTTGCCTGCCCGGACTAGCATCAAGTGGGCGTCCAGGGCAGAGGAACCCGGGCGTCCAGCATCTTGACGCCCCGTCCAGACGCCAGCGTAAAAAACGCTGGACGCATCAGATGGAACATTTTTGAGTCGACTCAAAATTCAACTCGCTGGACGCATCAGATGGAACATTTTTGACTCGACTCAAAAGTCAACTCGCTGGACACATCAGATGGAACATTTTTGAGTCGACTCAAAAGTCGACTCGCTGGACGCATCAGATGGAACATTTTTGAGTCGACTCAAAAGTCAACTCGCTGGGCGCATCAGATGGAACATTTTTGAGTCGACTCAAAAGTCAACTCGCTGGACGCATCAGATGGAACATTTTTGAGTCGACTCAAAGGTCAACTCGCTGGACGCATCAGATGGAACATTTTTGAGTTGACTCAAAGGTCAACTCGCTGGACGCATCAGATGGAACATATTTCTGAAGCCGCCTCACCACCCACCCCTCTTACTCCCCACCGTTTCATCTGGTGCGTGTTTTCTCTGCATGGAAAGAAGGCAGCAGCACGCGTGGGTGGCACTCCCAACTGCAGACTATTTCGTTTCCACCCACAACTCACTTTCCCACCCTTTCTTCCCGTGCATTCATGTGCTATCCTCTCAGGAGATTGCACTGAGCGAGAGGCAGCACGCGTGGGTGGCATACGACGGCACATCCCAGTCACTGGAGGTCTATCTGGGCGGCAGCGACGGCATAAAGCCCGAGGAGCCGGTGCTGCGGGCGTCGCTTGATCTTGTGGCTGTCATTGGTGCCACGTCAGCATCTGTGGGGTTCACAGCTGGCACGTGGTGGTGGGGATGTGGCGACACGGACGACCACCACCTCATCCATTCCTTCGCATTCAACACTGGTGAGCTGACAGGAATTTCTCTGTGCTAACGACTTAAAAAGTCCTTGAATTTTGAGTCTGATCCAAAGGCAACATGGACGACCATCACCTCATCCACTCCTTCTCCTTCAATGCTGGTGAGCTTGGGGCTCAGATTCTGGCTTGCTTGGGGCTCAGATTCTGGCTTGCTTGGGGCTCAGATTCTGGCTTGCTTGGGGCTCAGATTCTGGCTTTGAACATATCGTCGTCCTTTGCCTCCCTACCCTCCCCCTTGCCCACACACCTCCCCAGTGTCCCCTGGGTTCCTGCCAGCAGCATCACCCACCTAAATCCCAGTCGAACCCTCATTTCCCTCCCCCACTCTCTTTTTACCCCGACCCATCCACCTCCCCAGTGTCCCCCGGGTTCCTGCCGGCAGCACAGCCCACACAGGCGCCCACCTGCGAAACCACCGCCTCCTCTCTGCACTGCACTGGCTTCGCCGGCTCCACCCCCTTTGACCTCAATGGCTACGCGCAGCTCGGCCCGGCGCCGCACTTCCCGCTCTGGCTCGACTCGTATGATTCTGTCGGCTCTGCGCTCTCCCTCGCGCCCCTCTCCCTCCTCACCGCTTCCGCCCGCTCCTCCGCCTTTGAAGCCGCCTTCTCCTTCACCTTCCTTGCTGATGCCTGCGCTGCTATCCCGGTAGGATACTCACCCTTTCACCCTGGCACCCTTGTATTGTCTGCACTCTTCCACTCTACATGCTTGCACATCACACCCCAATCGCCTTTGAAGCCGCCTTCTCCTTCACCTTCCTCACTGATGCCTGCGCTGCTATCCCGCCCGGTAAGATGCTCACTCTGCACCCTTGCACTCTTGCACCCTTTCGGGGTTATGCTATACCTATAGCACCCTTGCACTCTAGCACTCTGCACCCTTGCACTCTTGCACCCTTTCGGGGTTATGCTATACCTATAGCACCCTTGCACTCTAGCACTCTGCACCCTTGCACTCTTGCACCCTTTCGGGGTTATGCTATACCTATAGCACCCTTGCACTCCACACCTCTCTCCCTCCGCACCTCTCTCTCTTCCCCTTCACCTTCCTCGTCGATCCCTGTGCTGCAATCTCGTTGCGAGTCTCACCCTTTCACCCTTGCACTTACGCTTTCTTACAACCTTGCCTTCTTTACCTGTTTTCTCCTCTCGTTCCCCTTCACCTCTCTTTCTTCTGCTTCCCCAAACTGGCAGGTGACGGGTAGAGGATTCACCTTTGTGCTCACCAGCGGCCCAGCAACTGCTGTCGGACCACAAAACGCAAGGTGCTGTGCGGTGCTGGGTGCTGCTGGGTGGTGCTTGCCGGTGCTGACTGGTGCCAAATTGTGCAGAGGGGTGCTTGGTGGTGCTGGCTGGTGCTGGCTGGTGTTGGCTGGTGCTGCGTGGTGAAGGCCCCAGTTGGGGTGGACGGTACAGAGTAGAGTCAGGTTCTGACTGTGACCCATGCCTTGACTTTTGAGCTGACTCAAAAGTCAACATGCCTTGCGTAGCTGTCTCACTCACCCTTTCCCTCATTTGTTGTCACGCTTCTCTCTCTCCCTCTGCAGTTCCCTGGGCTATGGTACGGGAAAAGGGGCGTTCCTCAAGAGTGTGGCAGTGGAGATTTACCTGTGCCCTGCCCCTAATTAAGCCGTCTCAGTGTCGCATTTTGGACTAGCTTTCATCCGTCTCACTCTCTCTCTCTCTCCCCCTCGCAATTCCCTGGGCTACGGGCCGGCAGGAGGGGCGCTCCTCAAGAGTGTGACCATAAACTTCCGCCTGTGCCCCAATAGCACAGAAATGTCCATCCCCTATCCCTCACTTCCTTCCACCCTTTTTCTCTCCCCTTGCAGGTCCCTGGGAACGGGTCGGCAGGAGGGGTGTTCCTCAAGACTGTGGCAGTGGTTTCACCTGTGCCCCATACCCCCTGCCCTGTCCCTTGTAAAGCCGTCTCAATTTCCTTTTCCTCCCATTGCCCGCTTCTTTTCTCCCCTCAGTTCCCTGGGCTATGGGTCAGCAGGAGGCGCGTTCCTCAAGAGTGTGGCAGTGGAGTTCCGCCTGTGCCCCATACCCTGTATAGCCGTCTCCTCTAAGGGAGTCGTGGCGGGAGACGGTTGTGCTGGAGCCGAGTTCTACACTGTTCTGCCCCCAGAGAAGGTGCGTGCGCTCGCCTTGCTTCTTTGAAGTGTGTTCCAAAGACCCTCTTTTTTCAAAAAAAAAATTCCCTAAGTTTCCTTGGGAGTCGGCTGCTCCTCGCTTTTGGTATCTGAAGCCATAATTCTTGGGCATTTACTGCCTGCCCGTAAACGGACGGGGAGTGTGGCCCTTTTGAGACTTCTCAAAAGCTCACCACCGCATCTCCCCTCCCTCCCTCTTTAATTTCCCGCCAGCCTTTTTCTCTCAACGCCTAGCAGCACGCCTTATCTGCTATATTTGTGTTACTTTTGATAATTCTCAAAAGTAGCACACTTATCTGCTTCCTTGCATGTGTTTGTGCCATAATTCCTCTCCACCCCACTCCACTCCACTCCACTCCCCCAGACCCCTTCAACCCCCCCAGGCCTTCCATCTCAACACTCAACAGTACGCCTGGGCGAGATGCGATGAGGGCTCTCAGACCCTCAACGTGTTTTTGGAGGAACGTCCAGGTGAACTGGAGACTAACCTCTCTCTCATGTCACGTGTCTCTCCCTCTCCTCCTCCCTCCCTCCCTCCCTCCCTCCCTCCCTCCCTCCCTCCCTCCCTTCCTCCCTCCCTCCCTCCCTCCCTCCCTCCCTCCCTCCCTCCCTCCCTCCCTCCCTCCCTCCCTCCCTCCCTCCCTCCCTCCCTCCCTCCCTCCCTCCCTCCCTCCCTCCCTCTCTCCCCACCTCCCTGCTTCCCTACCTTCCCACCAGGCCTTCCCACTCAACACCCAGCAGTACGCCTGGGTGAGCTACGAGGGGGCCTCTCAGACCCTCAACGTGTTCCTTGGGGGATCGTCCAAGGTCAAGCCAGGTGTACCAATGCTCACTGCCCACGTGGACATTGAAACCATCCTCGGTGCCACGTCAGCGTCCGTGGGGTTCACAGGTGGCACGTGGTGGGGGCAGGATATGGCGAGTGAACGACACATCATCCACCAGCTCAGCTTCGTGGGAGGTGAGAGGGATAGGGAGTGTGTGAATAGAGAATTTGAATGTGTGCATAGGGAATTTGAGTGTGTGGCAATGAAGGGGTATCGGCAGGCAAGTGCCCTTCTCTCACTTCATCGTTGTGGCGAGCGAGCGACACATCAGCCACCAGCTCAGCTTCGTGGGAAGTGAGAGGGATAGGGAGTGTGTGATGTGAATAGAGATTTTGAATGTCTGGCAATATAGGGTATCGGCAGGCAAGTCCCCTTCTCTCACTTCAATGTTGTGGGCAGCGAGCGAGCTTATCATCCACCAGCATCATGGGAGGTGAGTCAAGGATGGAGGGAAGAAGGGCGGGAGACGTGGGGTGTGTAACTAAGATATGCGATGCGCATTAAGGATTTTTGCTTCACTCTTTGGATACAACACAGGCAGTTTGAACTCTCTAGCTAGCCTCTCTTTCTAACGCCCTCCCCCCTTTCCACACACCTCCTCTCAGGAACTTTCCTGGAAACGACCAACGTAACGGCAGAGCTGACGAGCGCCTTTGCATACTCCAACGAAACGGATCTTTCCCTCTTCACCACCACCACACCCTTCACCACCACTCCCACCACCACCACCACCGACACCACCACCGCCACCACAACCACCGCCACCTCTTTCTCATCTACCGATGCTCTTGCCACCATCGGAACAGCCGGGGGGGCGGCGGTGCTGTCAGAGTTGTCTCCCGATGCCACGCGCGGCACAGTGGAGTTCCGCTTCACCGCCACCACCGCCTCGGGGCCGCAGTCCTTTGTGGGGCGCCGCCGCATCGTTGCTTCCCGCCCCGTGGTGAGTGGATTTTTAGTCAACGCAATACTTCTCCGCCACCACTGCCTCGAAGCCCCATTCCTTCGTGGGGCGCCGTTGCATCGTTGCTTTCCGCTCTGTGGTGAGTTAAGTCGGGTGTGCTAGCACCCAGTTATGTGTGCATTAGGAGTGCTGAGCAGCCAACCCTCTTTCTCATCTCACGATGCTCTTGCCACCACTAGAGCCACTAGAGCCACCAGAGCCACCGGAGCCACCGGAGCCACTGGAGCCACCGGAGCCACCGGAGCCACTGGAACCACTGGAGCCACTTGAGCCACCGAGGGGGCAGCGGTGGTATCGGAGCAGCTGTCCGCCCGCCTTGTTCCCTTTCATGGGTGCACACGCAGGTGTATGTGCCTTTCATGAAGGATCATCCCATGGGTGTTTGATTATCAGCTCACAACAACTACCTTACTTTCCTCTGACCCCCCTTCCCTCTTCCCCTGCCTCCATACCTCCCCCCGCTTCCCTCCCCTCTTTGCAGGTGCAGGCACACGTGTACGGGTCCAACATGGAGGATCCCCCCAAGGGTGTTGGATTAGCCAGTAATTGCCCTTATCTCCCTAACCCCGTCTCCCTCTCCCCCTCCCCTTCAATGGTGCAGGTGCGAGCACACGTGTACGTGTGCAACATGGAGGATCGACCCATGGCTGACGTGGCAGTAACGGCACGCATCACCTACCCCAACGGCACCGACGCCTCGCACTGCTTCGTCTTCAGCAACCCGCTGCTGCAGGGGATTGACGACGTCAGCGGTGCAGGTGAGAGTGGTGCCACAAGTGGGTTGATAGCGATCACGGGGATGCGCAATATGCTCGACGCACTCTTTTGCCTTAAATGACCAACTTCTGCAAGAGATTAATAATGTCAGCGTTGCACGTGAGATTACCACCTCTGCCGGTGCTGATTGTCCTCTTCTTCTCACAATACGAGTTTCTCTCTTTTTATTTCGCCACCAGCAACCAAACTGACCTCACGTCCATATTTCCTCCACAACCCCAACCGGTACCTGTTTGTCAGTCATTGGAGTCGCCGTCCTTCTTCGCATTAGGTCCTGCACCACACGAGTCACGTCATTTGTCACATCAGCTCTCTTGCATGTCGCAACCGCAGCCGCAGCCGCTGTCGTCTCCACCCCATAATTGGCGTCGACAAAAATCCTCCTCCAAGACTTTTGTCCGCACCGCACCCCACTCGAGCGTCCACAAGCTCTGGTCACGCGGCTGGATCAATCAGCTGGTGAATTAAAGCCACGACTTCGGCAGGAGCGAGGCCAACTTCAGGCACTTGGTCACTAAAATTTTGTCCTTCTCTTTGTTTTTCTTTCCCTCGTTTCTCCCCTTTTTCCTTCTCCCCAGGCACCCTCCCTCCTGCCACATCAGCGGGCGTTGATTGGCTGCTCCTCGCTCTGGACTGCGCCGCGCCTGCCACTCCCACCAACTTCAAGTTCGCCAGCACCCTGCACTACGTCCTGCCTGCATCATCATCCACGTCATCATCCACTGCGACTGCCACGTCAGCACCAGCATCCGAACCAGCGCCAGTGGTTAAGAAGGTGGAGCTGACGAGTGTGCGAGTGACGGTGGTCCCTTCACCCAAGCTGCAAGTGCACTACTTTGTGCCCCGCCACGTGCAAGGAGACGACCTCACCACTCCTCAGGTGAGCATGGGGGATCGGCAAGTGGGGCAAATTGTGTGACTGTTTCTGGCGTCAAGGATATCAACGGTGACTTGTGCCTCTCTTTCGCATACTCACTCTCTCTCTCTCTTCCGCATGAAAAGGTGGAGGCAGCAGTGCCAGCTACGCTCGCGGCACTCTTCCACAACTCCTCGCTCCTCGCTCTTTCACTCCCTCTATCCCTCCTCCCTTTCTCCCTCCATCTCAACACCCCACAGGTTGGGTATCAGTGCCAGTCACGCTCTAACCCTCCTCTCTTTTTCCCTCCTCTCTCTCCCTAAAAAGGTGGAGGCACCAGGTCCAGTCACGCTAGCAGCACTCTCAATCCAATCACTGCCCTTTCACTCCCTCAATCCCTCCTCCCTTTCTTTCTTCTCTCCCCAACGCCCCATAGGTGGAGGCACCAGTGCCAGTGACGCTAGCAGCACTCTTCCACAACTCGGGTCACGGCACAGCTGCTGCTGTCGCCACACAGTCACTGCTGCCCACCGTTGCCACCACCACCACCACCACCACTGCCGGCGCACCTGCCGCTGCTGACGTGGGCACTACTACTACAACGGGTGACACGAGCAGCGCGGCAATGAGTTTCAGCATCACCAGCACAGTGCTGGGCAATGAACCGCAGCCGGCATCGTTCTCTGTGAAGGTGTGTGCGCATTCAGATGTGAAACAAAGACGCGCATGCACATGCATCCATGAGTGAGTTTGAGCAAGACTGTTCTGGGAGAGGAGCCACAACCGGCATCCTTCTCCATGAAGGTGTGTGGCCATGCTGATGTGGACATGCTGATGTGGACATGCTGATGTGGACATGCTTATGTGGACATTCTTATGTGGACGTGCTTATGTGGACACACGCATGCATGCATACGTACACACACAGACATACACACACACACACGCATGTGCACACACACACACACACACACACATACACACACACACACACACACACACACACACACACACACATGCTTCACTTGCTTATTCCTACCATGACCCGTCCCTTCTTCTCAGCCCATCCCCCCTCTCTCTCTACGGTGGGAAGCATCCCTCCATCTGCTACAGCCATGGTGCGCTGGACCATAGAGGCCAGCCTCCATCTTCTCTTTCTCACCCACCCTCCTTTCCTCCATCTCTCCCCCCACCCCCTCCTCCCCTCTCCTCTTCTCCCCCAGGTGGGCAGCATCCCTCCATCTGCTACAGCCATGGTGCGCTGGACCATAGAGGCCAGCCACACAGGAACATTCGATACAGTCACCACCACCAACACCACCTCCTCCTCCCCACTCACCGGCCTCTCCCCCATTCTCGAGTCGGTTGACATTCACAACCTCGTGCACGTCGTCTATCTGCCCGACGCTGCTTCAGGTAAGGCCCCCGCTCACAAGTGACGCTGGTTTACCGATTTCCGGTGGGGGAAAAAAGAACAAAGGAAACAGGAAAAACATGTCTGTTGTGACGCCTAAAAAAAACCATCCGTCCTGGTATCATCCGGCATCGGTGACGTTGGCCAACAGAATTTCGTGCTGTAGCGACAACAGGGATGAGCAGGGCTCGAATCGTTGCCATGTCCCCATCCCATCCCATCCCATCCCATCTAATCCCATTCTATCATATCTTTTCACTGCTTAATCCATCTGTCACCCAACCCATCCTCTCAATGTCTGACCTGTCCATTCAGACGACGGGCTGCCGGATTTCCTGGTGGACGACAATGGGGACGAGCAGCCGGAGGCCATCTACAGCAGCGCTGGTAACTGCGTGCTGCCCGTAACCGCCGTGCCTTCCGCTGCTCTCGCGCCTGGCCGCCTGCTCTTCACCAGCGAAACCCGCGCCAAGCTCACTGTCACTGTGGACTGGTGAGTGAAGAAGTGGAGTGATGCATGGGTGCCAGTTCTGAACAATGAGTGCTTGTCCCGCAAGTTGCTGGGCTCACAAAAAAAAAAAAAAAAAAAAAAACAGGGTGCCAATTATCATATGGATACATCCCCTTTTTCCCCTTCTGTCAAGAACTCATGGTGTTGATCTCCCAACTTCAGCAACCTTTCCTCTCCAATCTTCCTCTCCCTGCCATGCTTGCAGGTCTGCCTTCCCACCAGCGGCAGCAGGAGGGTGGGCGCACATGTCATTTGCCTCGCAGCTGCCATCGCACTGCTGGAATCTCACCGCTGCTCTCCGATCCAACGGCTCTCAGCTGCCCGTGCCCTTCAACGCCTGGTCCTCCTTCTCCTCCCCCGGTGCTCCCACTGGCACCGCTGCTGCCCCTGCCCCTGCCACTTCAACTTCCACCGCCCCTGCTTCTTCCCCCCCTGCTTCACTTTCTTCTGACACCACTCACATTCTCGACTTTGTCTCCTCCCCCTCCTACACTCTCTTCTTCTCTTACTTTGATCAGACCCTCTCCTTCCCCCACCTCTCCCCCTGCTTCCAGGCAGTCATGCCTCCCCCTCCCTCCCCCCCCAACCCTCCCCCTTCCCCTCCCCCTCGGCCACCCCCCCGGCCCCCTCCAAGCCCCCCTCGGCCACCTCCAAACCCCTCTCCTCCCCCCCGTCCCCCTCCAAATCCTTCTCCCCCTCCCCGCCCCCCTCCAAGCCCCCCCAAACCCCCTTCTCCTCCCCCTCGCCCTCCCCCGAACCCCCCACCAAAGCCCCCCTCACCACCACCCCCCAAACCCCCGTCTCCCCCACCTCGCCCCCCGCCCAACCCTCCCCCGAACCCACCCCCTCCGAAGCCCCCATCCCCTCCCCCTCGCCCTCCCCCACGCCCGCCCCCGAGTCCCCCACGCCCGCCCCCACCCCCCAGGCCTCCTTCCCCCCCGCCTCGCCCTCCCCCACGCCCGCCCCCAAGTCCCCCACGTCCGCCCCCACCCCCCAGGCCTCCTTCCCCCCCGCCTCGCCCTCCCCCCCGCCCTCCCCCAAGCCCGCCCAAGGTTGTCTAGGACGCTCCGCTTACATCGCCACGCCCATTGGCAAAGGCATCCGGCTATGGCGTTTGCTGAGAGTCACAAATTCAGATGTGTGACTCACCTCACGTTGAAGCGGCTTTTGAGTCGGGCAACACTAAGGATGGATGAGGGGCCTTGGTGTTGGCTCTTACCCTTTTGCTCTGTCACCCTGACTTGGACTCCTGAGTTGTGGCATGCCATGTGACCTTGCCTGCTTGCTTGCTTTAGATACCCATTAGGGGTTGCCATGCCATGATCCACAATCATGCAATGCTGTCTTTCTTTTGAACCTTGATACATGGAAAGGTGGTGGAAAAAGTCCCAACCCCCCCCCAAAAGCCACCCCTTCCCCTCTAAAGCTCAAATGGTGAACTGTATGAAAACAGGTGTACATGATGAGAGCAGATTTGGTAATGAATAGGAAAGAGGCAACACAGTACAGTAGAGGCGGTGCGGTGGGAAAACCCCTCCATGCCCCCCCCCAAAGTCCCCCTGAGGCCCCCCTACCCCCCAAATCCCCTCACACCCCCTCACAGCCCCCCTCACAGAACAGAACCCCCTGACATTGCCCCACACCCTCACCACACCACGCACATCCCTGGGATGGGAACGCCAGGCCCGACCAACCGTTCCTCTGGCTTCTGTTTCACCCACTCCCTATTTGCAAACTTTGCCCTCTTTATCTGTAGGAAAAAGGAGTTTTGGAAAGTCGCTGCGTTGCTCGTTGCCTGTGTGTGCCTGTGCGTGTCACCTGCTCTTCCGCCCCTGTCCCTGTTTCTCTTTCTCTTCCGCCCCTATCTCTCTCCTCCTGTTTCTTCCTCTTTCTTCTGTTTCTCTTCCTGCTTCTGTTTCTGCCTGGCCTGACCTCCCCTGGTCTGGGCCTTACCTCCCCGGGTCGCCCCGGACCTCTCCGAACCGAATGAACCAGGCCCCGACCCGACAGGCTTGCATGGGCCGGAGATCAAACCGACATCCTTCCCTTCCCCCCCGGGCCTAGCCCAAACCTCCCGACACCCCTTATGTCAACACACGCAGACAAGTACAAACGCTCTCCTATTTTTATGTTCCTACACTAATTAATACCCTACGCATGTGCTTACTTGCTATGTGTTGGCGGCAAGAGAGTGTCTCTTCACAGCGCCCCGCAGGAGAGACGAGAACACCACCTGTGCAAGGATGGGTGGGGTGGGGTGGGACAGCAGGATGGCAGGTGTGACGGGATGGCACATGGTTTAGCAACTGTGGCAGAGGTGAGTGCAGGGGAGCAGTGGGGGAAGGGTGAATACAAGGGATAAGTGGGGGATGGTGAGTGTGGGAAGCGGAGGGTGAACAGTGGGGAATGGGGAAACCGTAGCGTGAACAGTGGGGGATGAGGAGCAAGGGCGGAATGAGGAGCAACAGCGGAACGAGGAGCAAGGGCGGAACGAGGAGCAAGGGCGGAACAAGGAGCAAGGGCGGAACAAGGAGCAAGGGAGGAACAAGGAGCAAGGGCGGAACGAGGAGCAAGGGCGGAATGAGGAGCAAGGGCGGATTGAGCAAGGGCGGAATTAGGAGAAAGGGCAGAGGGTGAACAGTGGGGGATGGTGAGTGTGGGAAGCGGAGGGTGAATAGTGGGGAGTGGGGATAAAGTAGCGTGAACAGTGGGGGATGAGGAGCAAGGGTGGAATGAGGAGCAAGGGCGGATTGAGGAGCAAGGGCGGAACGAGGAGCAAGGGCGGAACGAGGAGCAAGGGCGGAATGAGGAGCAAGGGTGGAACGAGGAGCAAGGGCGGAACGAGGAGCAAGGGCGGAACAAGGAGCAAGGGCGGAAGGAGGAGCAAGGGCAGAGCGAGGAGCAAGGGCGGAACGAGGAGCAAGGGCAGAACGAGGAGGAAGGGCGGAACGAGGAGCAATGAATGGTTGTCAGTTTTAATTAGTGAGTGTTTGTCCTGCAAATTGCTGGGCTCACTGTACAGAACGGACGCCGACCATCATTAGGAAGTTCATAAGTGCCTTTGTCAAGAACTCATCGTGGTGTTAATTTTCCTGAACCAACAACTCATCCTCTTCCATCCCCACCTGCCATGTGCATGGCCATAATTGCAGGTCTGCCCTCGCAGTACCGGCGGCAGCAGGGAGGTGGGCACACATGTCATTTGCATCCCAGCTGCCATCGCACTGCTGGAATCTCACCGCTGCTTTCCGATCCAACGGCTCTCAGCTGCCGGTGCCCTTCAACGCCTGGTCCTCCTTCTCCTCCTCCCCCTCCACTCCCACTGCCACCGCTGCTGCCCCTGCCCCTGCCACTTCAACCACCACTGCCCCTGCTTCTCCTACTTCTGACACCACTCACATTCTCGACTCTGTCTCCTCCCCCTCCTACACTCTCTTCTTCTCTTACTTTGACCAGACCCTCTCCTTCCCCCACCTCTCCCCCTGCTTCCATGCAGTCATGCCCCCCCCTCCCTCCCCCCCCAATCCTCCCCCTTCCCCTCCCCCTCGCCCGCCCCCCCGCCCCCCTCCAAGCCCCCCAAGGCCTCCCCCGAACCCATCTCCTCACCCGCGCCCCCCCCCCAATCCTTCTCCCCCTCCCCGCCCCCCTCCAAGCCCCCCGAAACCCCCTTCTCCTCCCCCTCGCCCTCTCCCGAAACCCCCGCCAAAACAACCCTCACCACCGCCCCCAAGCCCCCGTCTCCCCCACCCCGTCCCCCACCAAACCCTCCCCCAAACCCACCTCCCCCCAAGCCCCCATCCCCTCCCCCTCGCCCTCCCCCACGCCCAACCCCAAGCTCCCGCCCCCACCTCCCAGGCCTCCTTCCCTACCTCCTCGCCCTCCCCCCCGTCCTCCCCCAAGCCCTCCCAAGGTTGTCTAGGAGGATCCGCTTACATAGCCACGCCCATTGGCAAAGGCATCCGGCTATGGCGTTTGCTGAGAGTCACAAATTCAGATGTGTGACTCACCTCACGTTGAAGCGGCTTTTGAGTCGGGCAACACTATGGATGGATGAGGGGCCTTGGTGTTGGCTCTTACCCTTTTGCTCTGTCACCCTGACTTGGACTCCTGAGTTGTTGTCTGCCTGTGTTTGTTCCTTTTGCTGGCATGTCATGCCACCTTACTTGCTGGCTTGCTTTCGATACCGAACAGGAGCACACACAAGCATGCATTGCTTGATTTTTTTTGAACCTCTTGCTGTGCTTAATCAGTATGACTTGTAATCCATTCCTGTGTGTGCACCTGGATTCTGGATGCTACGGTATAATGTGGTATCTTGCTTGTTTGCGTGATGATGTCAACCTCCCTTGTTCTGCATAAAACAAACAGGTAGCTTTGAGCGTTTTTTACAAGCCCAATTTGCTAGCTGCTATGTTGACGAATCCGTGCGAAATGCAGTGCCCGTACGTAAACTGTACTACACATCAGGTGTACTGTGCGGTTTGGGACCTTTTGGTCTCCTTTCGGATGGTTCTCAGACCCAGACGCAAGTTGGGGTATTTTCTGACCTGATCAGACCTTGAATGTGAATCATACATTGGTGCTGTTCGCCAGTAAATCGTAATTTGAAATGAAAAAGATGGCATCGGCATCGCGACCGCATTGGAAACGGAGGCGGAACCCACCTCCAAGGTTAGGGCGTGATTCCACTCGAGAGAGGTCTGCGCCCGAAAGGCGAAATTACGCAACCGCATAAAGAACCTCCATCCTCGCCTTCCCCCCATTGGCGCGAACTTTTAGCTTCACTGACCATAGCCTGCCGGCGGGCCAAAAAGTGCTCAACGTGGGTAAAAAATGCAAATAAAACCCAACCCTGGTCAAATACAACCCCCGCCACCTCGTGCACATGCCCAGTCACAATTCGAAGGTGTGTTCGGGAGGGGAAAAATGGGGAGTATACGAATCCCCATTTGTCAAACACATGGCTCGTTTAAAAGGTTCCCCTCTGAACGGCAATGCAACGGCTGTGCCATCGCTGTCCTCTGAAAAACGGGGGATGGTGATGGCATAGCTTGGGGTGGGAATTTTGCCTTGGGACGAAGTTGCGCTTTGGTTTTTTGGTTTGGACGGTAGGGGAGGCTCGGCATCTTTTTTACGGGCTGACCAGGCTGACGGAGGTAAAGGAACCCTAACTAACCCTTCCTGATCCTGTCAGTATCTCGTGGGTTTTGGCTTCAAAGGTGCTGGCAAATATTGCTCTCGTTCATTTCCAGGTCCAGTCCGAATTTCTAAAATAGAAAATCAGACTTCAGGGCTTTCCAGCGTCTGTGATTTGACTGACCTGATCAGACTTTGAATGCGAACCACACAGTGCGTCTGTCATTTTCAGGTCCAGCATCTGATGGCCTAAGTGGTGGTTTTGCTCCGGTTCATAGCTGACTTTTGCCCTCCTGCGTGGCAGCCGAAGAGCAAACGAGCGGACAACCCCAATGTTTGGGGAATTCCTCTTTTTCCAAGCAGCTCTGGCGTTCAGTTTTTTGGTTTGAACAAAGCTGTAACCCGTAGTCGGACTGCTGCACCAGGGACGAAGCTGCCGTGGTCGGGTGGCAAAATGGAGATTCGAGTCAATTGACTGTCTGCCGTTTTTTAATCGATGTAGGACGTGGTTCAGAATTGGCAAACCGGGTGCATCCCGGGCATACCCGGATTCGTTAGGACTGAGTTTGGGCACAGCCTGGATTTCCCGTACACGTCCTCCCACTCTCCTTCCCCCCTCCTCCCCCCTCACCTTCTGGTATTCTTTCAAATTATCTGCGATTGCTTTCACACGAATCAACGTTCGATAATTCGTCGAAGAGTCTCTGATTCGCTAAAATTCGTCCTCATTGGCCAGTTCTGGTGACGGGTAACTACGCAAATGCGGCGGCAGCCCAGCTTATGACGGGATACCAGTATGACAAATGAGTTCTGATTGGCCAAATGAGCGCCAATGATGCTCAGCACTACGCAATGATTGGATGTCTTCAGGATCTTTAACCCGTTATGGTTTGGCCGTTACTGTTATACATTTTGTTGGGCTCGAGTGACTGACATAACTTCCTTGGAAGTCAATCCAACCCCTCTCCTCCCCCTGAGCGACTGACGCGACTTTCTTGTAGCATTCACAAGCTTGTACGGGCTGAATCTAGGATACCTCAGTACAGTAAGTTTCTGAGCTTAGGACTTGCGACGGCCATGCATGGGACCTTCGTGCCATGCGAGCGTTTAGGAAACGCAAGCTTGGAAAGAGGTCGAGCTTGCAAACAGAGAGACTTTGGAGGCTGTACTGCCGTGGTGCATGGGGGGGCTTCATGGGAGTGAGCCATCTTGTAGCGAGTGAGCCGTCTTGTAGCGTGTTTGTAGTTTTTTTACTCCTTGAAGGAGTATTACTGCAGACAGTTGACGACCTGAGGCTCACCTATGGAGATTGGGATCCCCAAGGTCACTACTACCAAGTGACCTGTCCCTGACCCGATGGTTTCCCTTGGGTCACTACTAGCACCATGTTGTGACCCTGTGGTTACTTTTATGTTAGTGTTTTTTTCTGGAAAACGGACCCCCTGACTCGAAGTTGACCCCACACGTAGCATGCACACAGGGGGAAATGCAATTTCCACGGTACTAATCTAGCGGTCTGAATCAGTCATGCTACCAGGCCACTGCATCTGGAGTACCAATCATCCCCTTTCATATCTCTCTCATACGATTCAGTAGTAGAATAGAATCCCTGGACCAAGCCTCACTACG